GTACTGAAGTTCAGGTGGAGCTCTACAGAGTTTGGAGTTATCCAGCTGCGTCTGGCTTAGGTCTGGCTGCTGTGCTCAGCTCCTTCCCGCTGCAGACCTGGGCTAGGACTGGGTCTGGGGATTCCCGGAACTCGGCAGAAATTCCAGACCTGGGCTAGTACTGGGTCTGTAGATTGCCTTTCTTTTGTTGTTTCTTCTGTTGTTTTTTGCAGCCCAATTTCTTCCCATCCAAAAGGATGATAAATATTTTCATATTTTATAATTCAACTTTTAGTATCTATCTAGAATTTTGTTTGAATGTATTGTTAAGTCAGGAATCTGTTTACTGAAAGATGGAATGATTACTTCAGGCTTCTATATTGTTTAATTTCATATCTCATTGCTATAATTAGAAAGTAATTATTTCTACTAAGATTAAAGTAGCTTTGACCTTGAGCCTTTAAAATGTATATTATCCTGTTACCTCAGTTTGTCTAGGCAAATGTTTATGCTGCTGTGAGCTATCTTCCTGGCCCACGCTTAGCGTTACACAATGTGTTTGAAGGACCAGAAATATTACAGAGACTTTAGTTTTGTCAATGTTAGTTTTGCTTTTCTGTTGGAGGCAACAGATTACATAATGCTAGATTTAATTGGTTGCTTTTTCTAGTTAAATTTTATCATGGTTGGTCTCTTATCTGTCATTCTACATAGGTGATATTGGTAAATATTCACTAAGAAATACTTTTATTTAATTATTAATTAATTAATTACTACAAGTAGTAATTGTGGACTTGTAGTAATCCTCGTGTCTCAGTCTCCCAGCTCTGAGATTACAGGCATGCACTGATATGTCCAATTTCGGGGATGGCATGGCATATGGTTCTAGGGATTGAACTCGGGACCTTGTGTTTGCCAGGTAAGTGCTTAGACTCCTGAGTTATCTCCTCAGCCATAACAAAAAATTTTAAAATGTGTTAGTTGTACTTCATAGTTTTCCTCTTTGTATGTATGTTCCACTTAATTTTAGGAGATACAGTATATTTGTGTATCTGTGTATCTATATTTCTATCTATAATTTTTGCTTCTCCTAAAGATACTAAATGCCAATTGTATTTATTTATCCAGTGGTTCTAAAGGCTTGAGGAAATGTCTGTGTTCATATGAGATGTTTTAGACAAATTTTACTAATTTTAGTTTTTTAGTCTTGTTTTAGTGTTTCTGCAAAACAAAAAATGTAATGTTAAATGAATTTATCTGCAGTTTAAATTTCTGTTAGTTTCTCTAAATTATATGAAGGGGCTCTGATGGATGGTATTGATGAACAAAAAGTAAATTGTTCATGTTCTGTAGTTACTTTTATTGCCAAGATATTTTGGTGAGCTCCTTCAATGAGAGAAGAGTCTGAAATAAGATGTATCTCCCATTTTCCAAAGTCTTCCACTTTGAACTCTGAAGCTTAATAGGTTCTGATAAATTTTTAAAGATAAATTTCTTTTATTTCAACTAATAGCTATTTATTTCTAAAACAATGGAATCAAATTGATTAATAGTACACTATCCCATTACTTAAAGACTGAGTAGATTTGAGTGTGGATTGATACTTGCATAGGTTTATGCTGGCTTCTGTAGTTTATGGACCACCACAAGGGTGATTATGACATGGAAATAGCTGTTTGAATTCAAAGAATAGGTAATTTCTGCATTTTGAAAGTTTTTTAAACATTAAAAAATTATTAATTTTAATGTATTTGGTACAGCAGCTCACTGTGCAGGTCAGACTCATGGTGATCCTCCTGTTTTCAGCCTCCCCAGTGTGTGCCACTGTGCCTGGTTTTGGTGACTGGCTCCGCATGCCTGAGGGCGGGGCGGGTGCATATTGAACCAGATCCCTGTGCTTGCCTGAGCAGGTGCTTAGTTCGCTGAGCAATCTCGTGGGCCCAATTTCTGCATTTTCTGAGAAGCATTTTCTGAGACCAGCTATTTAACATTGTATACATTCTAAATGCATGTCCAACTCACCCCCAACCTTGTGTGTGTGTGAAAATTTTATTGCCTATACAGATAATATATATTATTGTTAATATATATAATTCGTAAAACTTCTTTTGACTACTTTTATTATTTAAAACAGAAAAATAAGGTGAGGGGACACCACTTGTTGGATGCTTGCCTGGGGATTCAGTAGGAGTCAGAGAGTTTCCTGAGTGCCAGTTTCTACCTTTGTGGGGCTGAATGGCTGGAGGAGGTCTCAGTCACTGCTCTAGGGAAGATCTGGGCTTGAAGGAGCTGCAGTTAAAACTTCCCTGACCACTAGGTGGCTTCAGTTGCTTTGAAAGAAAGTTGGGGGCCTAGAGGTACTACAAGGGTTGCTGTTGACTCTATTTTAGGAAAATTTATTTCATTTTTCTGAGGTAGATGACAGGGCAAGTCATACAATTTAAAGATTTTTGGAGATCATCTAACTCTACCCTCTAATTTTAGCGTTAACATTTAGGAGACTTTTCCAAGTTGACTCCTAGTCTAGTTCTCTACCTGCTGTGTCAGGGAAAGCCATCTCTTTTCACTCTGAGGCCACATCATGTGGCTCTGTGCCATTGACTGTACTGGGCTCTGGAAGAGGTGCATACACGAATACTGTGTGTAAGGCAGGCAGTCAAGGATTTATTTATCCAGAATAAGCACAGGCCTCTTCCCTTAATTGCTGTCTACCTTCTGTCCTGTTCACTGCTTCAGCAGCATTTTTCATCTTTTTTATCTCACAAATTCTTTCTATCATATTTGATTAGGAGTTAGTCTTTATAATAGGTTTGGAATCTTTCTTTTAAAAAGAAATCAATGGCCACTATAGAAAATGTAACTGAAACTGAGTAAGTCCTTCATCAACTCAAAATGACTTATGATAAGGTTAATTTTTTTTCCTGTGAAAATTAAGGAAGAAGCAAAGACAGAATGCCTCTTAGCTGTTTCCTATAGTGAGTTTAAAGAATGTAGCAAATTTTATTTTTAAAATGACCCTGTTAAAGTTACCAACAATTCCTGTATTGTGAATATAGTAATAAAATAGAGGCCAAGGATCATAAGAAAAAACCAAAGGATATCTTAGATGGTTTGTGTTACTATAGAACACCAGAGCCTGGGTCATTTATGAAGTAAAGAAAGTTATTTGACTGAGGGTCTGGGGCTGAGGAACTCAAGATGGAGGGTCCACGTGTGCTGAGGGGCTCTTGCTGTGCTTTGGATGGTACATGTGCAGCCTGTGAGCCAAGGCTGATCTGGGCAGCAGCCAGGGCTGCGGTAACGTGTTAGTCCATTTACCAGGTGGAGCCTGGGCTGCTTGCTCCTCACCCCAGAGGTCCCTGTGTTAACCCTGCTACACTGCGATTTGCCCCTCTCCCAGGCTTTGGGGGTCACACTCCAGCCTTGGCAGATGGGGAGGAGCAGAGGTGACCAGGAGTGAAGATGGTGGAGAAACAGCTACTAAGCAGGGCCTCCGGCTGTTTCTAAGAGTAGAGCAGAAGAGAGGACAAACCTGAGACCTGTGAGGGGGAAGGGAGCAGCTGGGGACCTGTGTTGACCCAAGGGCCAGGTGGGGCAAGATGGGGACAAAGCAGGACACAAATTTTTCCTTCAAGGCCTCTCACGGTGTCCCCAGGTTCTGGCCTTGCTCTGTCTCTGGGTCATCCTGACCTCGCTTCTGGCCTCCCCGTGGTCCCCATGCAGCAGCTGGCAGCCCCACTCCCTCTGCAGGCTGCACTGCAGGACTGCAGGGTGAGGTCAGCAGCTGCAGAACTGGGTTTGCCCTACAGTCACAGCCCAAGCGCCACTGTTAACATAACTTGTAAGGATTTTCCCCATCTGTAAGGGATCTTACCATCGGGACTTTATAAATGATGTTTGAAATGTTTGAATTGCGTCTTTGTAGTAAACTTTAAAAATAGACACACAGTCATTTTCTTACAGGTATGTTAAAGCTGGACTGAGTGAAAGTGTCGTTTGGCACAGCACGAGCTCCACTGAGATGCTTAACCAGGCCTCGTTTTCTCTCCCTCTCTGTAGTGACTTAAAGGGAGTGATAGTGACTCTCAGCGACGATGGCCACTTGCAGTGCTCCTACTTGGGGACAGACCCTGCCCTGTTCCAGGCTCCAAAAGTCGAATCGAGAGAACTAAACTATGAGGACCTTGATGTAGAGCTGAAAGAGCTTCAGAAAATCATCAAAGATGTTAAATCACAAGGTACCGCCCATGCAGGTTTCCATTATTTAATTGGAGGGTTCCTTACGACGTTCACGTCGTCGTGTGTGTAGGGGATGTTGTGCGCTCCTTTGTTCATATTCTCCGCAGGCTTCGCTGGAGTCGGACTGCAGAAGCAGTGTGGTTCTTTGGGATGGCCCTGTCTAGGTTTACTCTTTAAATTCTAAGAAAAAAACCCTATTTCTTTGGGTAGTGGTTTTTGGCTGTGAGAGGAGCATTAAAGTTTAGAGTGGTCATTTATTAACTTCTAATATCCCTGAAAGCAGTTACTTGCCTCTTTTAAATGAAACCAAAACAACACGAGTTACTATGTTGCTACTAAAAATGTACTAATTTGCAGTAGAGCGATGTAATTTATGTTTGAAGTTAATTAGCCCTCCAGTTGGAGTGTAGCCTTTGATATGTTGATTCTAATGATTCAGAGACTGATGATATTTTCAGTTCCTGAGTTTTGTATAACTCAATATTATCTTACTTTGAGAATCACAAGGGTATAATTTCATTGTAAATTAAAAGGAGAAACAAAACATCAATCCTGAGTGTGAGTTGAACATATGAAAAACATTAAAGTTCTCTTTTCAGGGTCAGGTAAAAGTATTTTTTAAATGAGAAAAAATATGGTCTACTTTCACATAAAAGAAATGTTAAAGTACGAATAATAAAAGAAGCAGAGCATTAAAAGCCAATCAAAACAATGTTAATCCTGATCCAGTCACTTTCCTACAGTTATACATTTTTGAGTCTTTGTTACAAGATTGTATTCCATTGGTTCTAAGGAATTGAGATAAATTTTTTAAAAAATATGAATATTAAGAATGGAGTTGTTGTGCTTTGGTTTCATACATTCTTTTAGACATTTTGAAAGTGAACCAATGAAGTTCAGGCCTTTAAAATATCTCCAATTACTTAAAAACTTAATTGTTGTCAGCACCTTTATGTCAAATAAAGAATGGTTAAAGTTGGACCTATCATACTGTAATATACAAATTATTTTTTGATCATGCTACCATTATTTTTGGGATTAATGGAAATACAAGCCTCATTTTATGATTTAAAAATATAATTAAGAAAGAGTGGCACATATATGAAGCATGAAGTTTGAAGGGTTTGTTAAATGATGTGGTTTTTACTCCAAAGTCTACATCTTGAAGTTTTGCCCTTTTCATGAGTAGTGTGCTAATGGTATTTTCTTTTCGGCACTAGGGATTGAACTTGGGGATTCATCTGTGCTAGGCAAGTGTTGTACCACTGAGCTCCATTGCTGGCTCCTGATAATGGTGTTTTGAGTAACATTAATTTTGTGTGAAATTTCCCAGAAAAGACCATAGAAGCAGAGGTTTTTTATTGGCTACCATAGTGATGCCCAGGAGTGAGAAGGTTTAGGCTGTTACACTCATCAGGACCTTGCTCCTTTTGTATAGCTTGATATAATTGCTAGCCCAGGATGTATCCACAGACTTGAGTGCAAAGTTCATTATTTATATTACTTCAAATTTTAGTTAATTTTGGTGTTCTTTCTTTTATGCTACCATCAGTTGGTTTTATCATAAAAAAGAAACTTTTTTTTTCTTTTTTTATTTAATAAAAAGAAACTTTTTAAAGAGAGAAGCTTATAAAATATTTTACTTCAGGGTATGGAAAATAAATTAGTATTCTGGACTCTTATAAATCTTTAGTATGTTGTTTATTAAAATACCTGTAATTATATATTATGTTACATATTATGACAAGAACTATATATTATTTTATTACAGATTATTTTATTATAGTACCAAATTATTTTATTACCGACTATAAGAAGTTAAAACTCTGCAATGTTTGATAACCTCATTCATTTAAATGTCGCTGACTTTAGCGTGGTGGCTTTAACTCACAAGAAAAGTTGACAGTCTTGTGGATTATGTTCTGTATTTAACAAGCTTTTAAAAACCTTTTCAAAGGAGGAATTGCAGCAAAATTTAAAGGCAGTTTAAAGAGTACATTTTCTTGTACATATGGTGTATATTAACTACTGTAATAAAAGTGTTTTGAAGCTGACTTTATGTGTATAAGTTATAGAGGAATGTGTATGTTGTAAGCAGGAAATTATAGTAATAATTTGTGTATGTCTTATGGATTCTGAAGCTTTTAATATTCAGCTCGTTAGTTTGAATCGTGCCTGTCATTTCTGTCACTGGTAGTCAGTGGTACCCAGTAGTAAGAACTTTTAGAGATTCAACTTCCTTATGGTTTGAGGACTGATTGCATTTACTACCTGGACTGTGTAGGAAGCACTGGGTGCCTGATTTAAGCCACCACACACAGCTGTGTCTTTAGGAATTGGAAGAGAACAGTTAGATATGGATGTGTACATGAGGCTGTACCCATTTGAGATCTGTTTGAGAGGTTGACCAAATTGAAATTTCCACTGAGTCCTGAAATCTTGGAACTTGGTGACCTTAATTTAAGGGTATAGCTGGCTGTGTAGGGTGGAATACCTGAATAAGGCAGCTTAAACTGCATAGAGGTTCCTTTCTCTCTGATGTACAAGAAGCCCATGGATGGGCAGTCTAGTGTTGTCTTGGCAGCTCAGTGGTCCTCCGGGATTTGGGATCCTGGATCCCAGGGTCAGCCGTTGGCCCAGGATGGTGTGGGAACCTCTGCCCTCACATCTGCAGTTGAGTCAGCCCCACCAAGCTTTTCTGAGCAGCTCCTGTTCACATCTCTGTGGCCACTCAAGCTGGAAAGTAGGTGGAAAAGCTAAGCATTTTAGTTGAGTTCTTTGTTGCTCAGAATAAAGTTGTGCTTCTTTTAGTAAACAACTGGAGAATGGTTGTTGGATGACCAAGAACAGCCTTTTGTATTCTCATTATGTTTATTGTTTTTTTTTTTTTTTTTTTCAGAACCGAGGATTGTACTGAGGCCCTTGTGCTTGCCCCCTGGCAAGTGCTTATTCCACTGAGCCATCTCCCTGGCTCCTGTATTCTCATTATGTTTAGAAATTCCCTTTTCAAATTTTCAGTATTAGTGGGAAGGTTTGACAGTTATGGAAAGTTTCTTCTTATAACACAGCTATAATGACTTATATTTAGATGTACCCCCAAAACCTCATGTGGTGATAGGTAGAATTTTTTTAGGGGTAGCTGGATCAAGAATGTGAGCTGATTCATGGTACAATGCTGGCATTAAGAGTGAGTGATTACTAAACTGGTCTGCTGATTTCTTTGGTAGTGCCCTAATTCAGGTAGCCTAAATAGAAAATAAAAGGGGCAGAAAGATGCTGTTAAGGTCTCTTATGGTTTTGCTACCATGAAAAGATCCCTCTTTTGTTGCTTTTGCTGTCTTCCAACACAGTTGCTCTTCTGCAATGTGCCACCCTACACAGGAGCCAGTTGATTATGGGCTGGCTCCTGTATAAGCTGTGAACTAAGTAAACCTTGCCCCCTTTATCTTTGGGTATTAGGTATTTATCTCAGCCTTGAAAGAAGAGTAACAAAGACAGAGTTTAGTACTGGAGAAGTGAGGTTGTTGCATGTCACTACCTAGCAATGTGACCCAAGCGTCTTTGGAACTGGATTGTGGGAGAAAGGCAAGAATTCGAAAAGATTCAAAGATGCCCACTGAAAAAGCAGAGCTGGAACACCTTAGGCTGTCTGTATGGGAGATTCTGGTCAGAGCTCAGAAGATTAGAAGGATGATAGAAACCGTACCAGTAAAGACTCAAGAGGTTTCTTCTGGGAAGAAGGACTGCATTGGCTGTTAGACTCCAGATGATGTGTGTTGTAGCTTGACAGAAAGTTTATGTGCATTTGCTTGTGTCCATAGACTTTGCCTGAGGCTAATATTAAGGGCAGTGGACTAATTAATCTGGTGGATGAAATTTCAAGGGAGTCTAATGTGGCTGTTGCATGAATGCTTTTGGGGGCTTTTAGCCAGATGTATGTTGAAAATCAAGAGCAAAGAAGCCAGGGGGAGATTGAATGCTTTGAGTTTGGCCAGAAAGGAAGCTTTAGTAAAGTTGTGGACTACAAAATAGAGAAGAGATCTTGATTGCCAAGAGGGAACAGGAGGATGGAAAAGATGACTTGAGGGCATCACAAGAAGCAGGACTCATCCTTTGCAGCCTCAATAGTGAAAGATTACTATGAGAAGAGAGTCCCAGAGCACTCTGTTCCAGAATGGCAGTGACCTGGGGAAATCGTTCCTCCAGATTTGGTCCATAGTCACTGGACCCCTATATCCAAGAGTAAAGGAAGCTTGGCTACTGTTTCAGATGGTGGTAGACCTTAACACCATTCTTGTGGTGCTGGTTTTAGGTACATGAAGTATGCAAGATTTGAGAAGTCAGGGCAGCTTCCACCCAGATTGCAGAACAAGGCCTGAAAGGCTAGGTAGTATACTGAGAGAGCAGTGTGAGAAGCTGTGACTGTGTAGCAGAAGGGGTATTGGAGACCTTAGAACTTTGGAGAAGCCAGGAATCTGGATTACCTGAGGAAAAATACTAAGAGGTAGCAGAGCTGGCCCCAGAAAAAAGCCATTGGGAGCTACAACTTCTAGCAGTGCCTTAGCCTTTTGCAGTTCACATGTTGCCACAGATTACCTTGGAGGTTACACACAGAACTATAGGATTTAACATTTGACCTGCTGGATTTTGGGCTTGCTTTGGTCCCATTCCTTTGTATTCCCATTTGTACCTTTTGAAAGAGTAATGTTTATCTTTGCCATTGTGTGCTATGTTTAACTTCCTTCTCATTGCACAGGGGCTTGCAGCTTAGAGTTTTCCTTGTCTCTGTGGAACTTGGACTTGGACTTGGACTTTTCAGTCTTTTTGCATAAAGAGATGCACATGAGTCTTTCGAGGAGGGCAGGGCCTAAATGTTATGGCTGTGTTTAGGTGTCCCCCCCTCCCCCCGATAGGTGGAGCTTTTTCAGAGGTGACTAGATCTAGAGAGTGTGACTGATTCATGGTGGAATGTTGGGATTAAGAGTAGATTATTACTGTA